AGTGGGATTGACCGTCAAATTATAATGCCCCCACAGCTGCAAGGGCGAGCATGTTTGGTGTGACGGGGATTCGAACCCGCGACCCTCAGATTGCGAGTCGAGCGCCTTATCCACCTGGCCATGCCGGGCCTGGAAAATTTTTAGAAACAGACCCTGATGAAGATAGAATCCGTCAAATTTGCAGAAAAATTGATGAGGCAATTTCTCAATATTGCCAATTATATGAAGAACAGAAGAATACAATGCGACAAGCCACTCTAAATATGTTTTTCATTAAAAAATCAGATCAATAAATTTTAATTCATTGCATTTTTTTCGTATTTTCTTATATACCTATACTTTGATTAAAAAATACGCAAAATAGAAATTAATTGTGAATGAGAATGAAAATTGAAATACGAATTACATGATTTCTTACAAGTGATTATATTCGATTATTCGATTAGTGCGGCTCTTTTAAAGAACACATTAACCGCACTAATCGAGGGATTCCTGTACTTACCTACCTGACAAACATAATCTGGAACGATAGGTCAGATTCCAGAGCCCCCAGTGAAAAAAATATTAATGCCATATTTACTAAAATAATTGGGAAACTAATTTCTATTCTGTTAACATTAATGTGTACTGTGGCCTTAGAGCCCTCCAGTGAATTTTTTTTGGCCTTGGTGCCCTTGAAAATGAGAGAAAATCCAAGGCCAAATGGCCTTGTCCTAAAACTGATGAATTTCCTGGCTTGCAGTAGACAATGCAATAAAAATTCACAGCAGCAAGGGATTAGGGAAAGAAAGAATATTTTTCTCTTAAAATATTGTGTAAGAAGGAGGCAGAAATGAAACAAAATAGTACATGGAAGGAGTGAATAAATCCTCTTACTATGGGCTCAGATATTGTGACCGAGTTCATAACCACAAAATAACCATCAGAGTTTTCATTCTATAACTTGTAACAGCATACACCTGTTTATACTTAATTATATTACTTTATTGCCCTTTGAACATTGTGTAACTAATAATCCCTCCACGCAAGTTGTAAATCACTCAGCGAACAAGCAGCTCACATTACCATATTGAATTACACAATGCACAAGTTTCTCACGAGTATACCTCATGAAGATTATTATAATTTTTTATTGTCTTACCTAATATAACCTAACAAGTTTCAAATTTTTACAATTTAGTTACTCTTATAACAATAAATAAAAAATAGACATGAAAAACATGATATATATATAGAACTCAGATTCAAAAATTTCACAAACCATCCCTCTTCCTCCTACTCCAAGCACTGTTTATAATAAAAACCAAGAACTATAAGAACAAAAAGAGCAAGACATTTGCAATAAAGTAGTTATTCAGAGTGACTTTTATGACCTCAAAAATATTTTCAGTTGAAATTAAATTCATTTCATGAATTGTAGGGCATGCAATAAAAATAAAACAAAACCATATACATGAAAACTATTGTCAAATTGTCAAAATTCACATTTTATATCACATTCACAGACCAAACTGTTTTGCTCATTATTCTCACATATGCTTCTTGACCTTCAAACTCTCCTCAGCTTGTATTGTAAAGATATTATGATACATTATCATGTGCTATATGAAGGTGTTTCAAGGGAAAATCTAGTTCAAACACTCAAAACTGTGGATTTGGCATTATAGTAAATGAGGAGACAATTCCAAGTTTGTTGTTTTTTTTCCAATGGTAAATCAGAATCAAATTCTATAAGAAATGTTCTTATAATGAAAGTGATGAAATTTGCAAAGATTATGTTTTTATGGACATCTTATTTGTATTCTTTCTTTTACACAACATAGACCCTCTTTGGACAAAATGTAAACATCTGCCATTTTGATTTTATTGAATCCATTGACCTGAATTTGGTGTCAGAAAACTAATCTATTATATTTCAATGAGATACTACTTGAATAAAAACTGTGATACCAACTATTGGTCACTAATTTTTCCAGTTTAGCTTTCACTGCAATTTCGTGTTTACCATTTAAACTATGTTAAGCCTAAACTGTATTCTATCAACTGGAACTATAAAACTGTTGTAAACATTTGGAACCTCAAAAGTAAGAAAATGATGAACAAGTTTTCCCAACAATAAAACTGGGGAGGTTTAAATATGAAACAACATCAAATGAAAAAATTACTTACTCTGGTAAGAGGAACTGTGATTTGAATGCTGAATCAAAAAGTCAGAGTAGAAGCTAGAGTCTGAGGGGTAGTATGGTGAAGTATCTGAATCAATCAGAGGCATGTTGGAATACACCGATGAAGGTACAGGTGTATGTAAACCTGTTTTGCTCATGCTAATCCTACAAAGTAAATGCAAGATACTAGTTACTGGCAGTCTATAAATTATAACTATACCCTATTTAGTATGTTAACAACCAAGTACATAAAATTGATATTACTTTCACTAATATTCCAAAATTTTTTTCATCTGCCCACAGTGGAAATACTTAACCAAATTGTATGAAATTCAGTACTCGCTTACTAAAAGGTGTCATTTTCAGCTTAAAAAGTACATATAATTTGATTTAGTTTCCCTTTAATTTTTTACATTCTGAAAATTCCAAAATTATTTCAAAGTGAATGATATTCATTAACTAATTTTTTTTAAATTTTATTTTGCTGATTAAAGTAGTCATCACTTCTGGCTATAATTTCTCAAAACATAGTAACAAACATTTTTCAGCAATCTAGACCTTACCTTTCACAACAGTGTAACCATTACCTCTGTCAGGCTAGATGAAATATTTTTGCTAACAATATTATTGGCAGAAATCTATTTATATATAAAAATAGGCAATCAATTATTTTTAATAAATAAATAAGGTTTTATTTATGTGAATTAAGTGACCATGCTAAATTTAACAATATTTTTCAATACAGAAGGATTTAAATCTCTGGTACATTTTGCCATAACCTATCATACTCACCAAATCAAACTAAGCTTACCTGATGTCTTGTTGTAGCTTCCAAACAGACATAATTTAACACGGAAACATTTTGTGGAACAAATAGAATGTCTAAAAAAAAACTATTTAAAAAAAAAGTCCCAGATCTCCTTAGTTTTCTATTACATTCCTTTGTTCATTCCTACAGGAGCCCCATCTAGTCACCTTCCCACAAAACCGTAAATTACTGATTTAACTATTTTTTATTCTGCACTGACATAAATAAGTTTATAATATGCTCTATTCAACGGTATCTAAATTTTGCCTCTAGATATTTTTACAGTCATGCTACTTTAATATTTATTCAGATCACATGCACTCAACACCTGAAAGGTGTTCTGTGGTCACGATAAGTTTAATAGTACGAACACCAAGGAATGATGTCTGGGCAATAACTACAACTTACATGTATTTGGCATTTTACCATCAACTTTTAAAGAAATGCTTTAAATATAATAACCCTAATTACTAAATTTTAAATATAACTGCAATTAATTTTATGTTTCCATCTTAGGAAACAATTATTTAAGATTTTACAATTTCCATAAATTAGACTGACTGAAAAATATTTTGTTTTCAAATATTTTTTCTATTAAATCATAACCATTTTTATCTTTTATTAATTTTTTTCTTATGAACTATACTAGTTACAAAATATACCTAGCAGAATTTGTGTGGAGAATTTCTACAATCGACCAAACATTGTTTGCTATCCAAATTTTACTCAAGTTAATTTTCTTTACTGAACTTAACTGTAATTTTTTGCCTGTACCTAAAGTGCAATTAATTTAAAACATGTTTTTACTTCAAGAAAAAATTACACAGTAATTAACCAATACATAAATTGATTTATCAATTTAAAAAACAACAAATTATCAAAACAACCTAAAAAATAATGCTGAATTTGTTTTCGTTTTACACAAATTAGTTTAATACCTTGTTTTAATATTTAGCCTTTTCCTAATTCAAATGCAAAAAAAATATTTCACTTATTTCCAAGTCTAGAAACTAAGCTATACTTTTGATACTAGAAAAATGCTTGATAAGGAGATCATGAAATTTTTCAGAACATAAATTAATTATAGATGAAAATAAGTTGGAACTAATTGTGTATTTGCAAGTACAGAACAATAACATTGATATATTTCTGTTGTTAACTTCTAAAAACATTATCTATACGTGAAAGAAAACTAAGCTTGCATTAAAAACAAAACTTTACTGCCTTCTATATTTCACTCTCAAAATATCTGCTGTAGTTTCATTCAATACCTACAACTTAAAATGCACAAGTCTTCTTGAAAAAAAATAACAAAATTAAAAAATTGGTAACTTACTCAGTAGATCCTGCAGATGTTGAAGATAAAACTGCTGTCATGGATGAGCCTGCATATGAAGTCATAGAAAAGATGGAGTTGTTATACTGTTGCATGTCTGAAGGGATGGTAGAAGTCAAAGTTGTTTGTGGGACAGGAGAGTTCATGATGGTAGAAAAAGAAGAATTGGATGATGATGGAGATGATGGGGAAGCAAGTGAAATGAAAGGCATTGAGAGGTCAGAACTATGATATTGTTGCAAAGTCGATAATGAGGAAGACAAAAAAGAATTTGTTTGTGAAAGAGGAGGGACGGATGAAGATGGAAGTGAAATGACAGGACCATGAGTTCCATCAATGTTTGGAGAACTTGGAAACTGTTGAGTATTCATAACAGAGAAGGGAAAAAGATTTACAGGTTGTGATGGAGGCAGAGGAAAGTCTTCTTCTTCTTCTTCACTATTGCTCTCAATAGTCAAGTCTACAACTTCCACATGAGGCTTTTTCTTTTGATCTAAGAAAATAAAAAATAAAAACAAAAACTCTCAAATTTCTACCTGAAACTCCAGTCATAGAACAGTTTTTAATTAATTATAATGTGTGTGTGTGTGTGTGTGTGTGTGTGTGTGTGTGTGTGTATTTAGAACCAAAACTAGTTTTTACTGAACTCTTCTGAGACCAAATCATTACTTAAACCACTTTATTTAATATACAATGACAAACTTATCTACACAGATTATAACCACTTCTATCTAATATTTTTAATTCATTTGTTTTCATCATTTTCAAAGCTGAGCTTCAACAGTAATTATTCAGATCACATGCTGTAACACCACAAAGGGTATAAGGGTCATACTAGTAAAACCATTAACAGAGAAGGAAATCATTAAAAAAACAAAGCAAAAATACAATTTCAAGGGGTGATCATTTAGGAGGTAGAAATAGTTTATAAAAAATTTATAAATGAATTGTTTACAGGAGGGGATCCTCAGAGCTGCAGAGAAATGAAACATGGACAATTTTTTTTGTCATATTATAATAAACATATGTTACATAATAACAAGATATGAACTGTAAAATATTTTTCAGTTACAAATTTATGTTGAAATAATAAGAATTATCACATTTTTGAAATTTTATATGCCAATATGCACTCGATACCCAAAAGGTGCTTATCAGTTTGGATAAGATTAAACCATTATAAGAAAAAAACAAATTTGACATTATAGCTACATATAAGAGCATAAACATACGAGTTACATAAGCCAACTGACAAAAAGGATAGTTATAAATATTCAAAATTATCAAACACTTAACGATTTATAAGCTGAACTAACTTGGTTGGATTTTGGCCACAACTTATCTATGAGGGAGCTTACTCGTCCATAACCCAGGCCTGCAAATTTAATATTCATAAAAGTTGTTCTGGTTTTAATAATGTATTTTCCATAATTCAGCTATACAGATTCCAAAAATAATAGTCATTTTTTTCTATCACATAAGGAAGAAAAAACTGTTACTTAGATAAAAAAAAATATTATTTCATTTACCACAAGGAACATTTTATATTATTATGTTTGCTAACAAAAATATAAACAAAGTGAACAAATATGCATCCTCATTCATACTGATTTTTTTTTTGTGAAATCTATATCTATTAGTCTCAAAACTACGTATTGTGGTCTTTCTTTTTTTGTATAGTATTATGATGTTTTGTGAAAAATCTCTGCATGATGGAGAAAAATGGATATCAATTTCAGATTCAGCATACAGGAATTACTGTACAACATTTAAAAATTTCAAGACAATTAAACCATCACAGGCCTGTGTAATCTGAGGCCAAAATTCAACCAGTTTATATATTGCTATTTCTTTTATAATGATAAAAAAGGAGCAAAACAGTTTTATTATACATAAGATCACATAAAAGACAAGTAAGTTTTTTGAACAGAAGTTAGTAGCCTGTATATAATTTAAGAATTTTTTTAACTACACTACCAAAACAACAAAAAAATCATTGTTGATTTTGTTATTTTTCATGTAAGTTAGTTTACTATCCTGATTTTAATACTGAGAATGAAACTAATTTTTCCTTAACTCTTTCTGGACCAGAGGAGATGTCCCCAATATCCTTTTTAGAGTGAAAATACTTAACCAAATTCTATAAAACTGAGTACTAAGTGTACTAATTAGTATATAGTTAATGAAGAGACAACTGGTAAGTGTGAATTAAACTATAAAAGTTATTATATTTTGAACTAGCTAAACTGCAGCTTCTTATGTATATCTGTAACATCTGTATTGAATTCTTACGAAGCGAAAGAACTTACAAGCAACAGTACACTTACTTAAGGAACTAAATGCAGTTTTCTCAACAGTGGGACTTCCAATAATTAACTTGTCTTTTCTAGAAAGCACTGGTGTCCAAGATCCATTTTCATAAAATTGTACTTCAAGACACCCAGCTGGAGCTTTAGCAAGAATTTCTGTGAATAGTCTAAACATAATACAATGTATGTTAGTATGACACATTCAAAACTTATGTAATGGTTAAATATACACAAAAAATGTTAAAATAATCAGAAAAGCTCAACGTTTTCAAAAGAAACAATGCTTCTCTGGAAACAGCTGATGGCTCAGCAGTCTAGTTTTGTTTTATCTTTGACAGTTTTATCCTTTATTGACATGATTTTCTTTGCTATAATGATTTGAGATTAGTTTTACTTTCGTTACATTTAAGTTTCACTGGCGATTCTTTTCTGAGTTATAATTTAACTTCACAAACAAGTATTTTTATTTTCTTTTGGTAAAAGGTAAGTTAAAATTTGATGGAACAGTTAAACTAAAATTTACAAATTGAAAACTGTGTTGTTTTTTTTTTATTGTTGTACATTTAATGAAGACATGTTTACCCATCAATCACTAGATTGTTGAAAACAGCAGATCTATCACATACAGGACATAACCAAGTGGGCTTCTTTTCATTCATCTGAAGAAAGAAGGAGGCATCAAAACACTGCAAGTGGAGACAAGTTATAGATCGGCATGGAATCTGGATTCTGGTTTTTCCTAGCTGTAATATAAATAATAAAAAGGCACTGCCTCAACCAACTTTTAAATTTTTCAATTTACTCTAGAAAATACTACAACAAAAGCTGATCTTTTCCAGTTGATAAGCAAAAAACCACCTATTAGAAATTTTAATACATAGCTTTTAGAGAAATATAATGAAGAGATTATTAAGTTTGAACTATCTTAACTATAGTTTCTTCTACATGTGTAAAATATCACTGCTATGAGAATCCTTTATTTTTCTGCAGGCATTTGAAAAATTCAGTCCGACACCCACGAGGTCATTACCTTTTTGCAAATAAATAGAGAATTTAGGCCAATTCTCAAGATATAATGAAGAATTAAGTTTTGCAGCTTCATATGCATATGTTATATTCTCTGTTACATGAGGCTTTTCTATTAAGCGGGCTAGAAAGGGTAATATTATGTATATCTGTAATTAGTCTGTATTTGGTTGATAATTACATAGCAACAAAATACATAATATTTAATTTCAGTTTAAAGGTTTGCTGATTGTTTCAATGGTAGTGTTAAAATTATAAAGAATTTACATAATAAATTGTAATCAAGTACTCCAAATCTAGCAGTATGTGTATGGTTAAATAAGTATTGTTTTCGACGAACCTTTTGAAGCTATTGTTTCATATCCAAAGCACTACAAAAATCTATCAATCTGAATTAGTTAATTAGTAAAATTATCTATTTATGAAATATCCTTCTATTCAAAACTAACAAAAACATACTGCATTATGCAATAAGTACTTCTGTAGAAATACACCCCTCCGGAAATTGTATGTTTACATTCCTTTGTTAATTCTTAATGATTTTCGATATTATTGATAATTTCACTTGATTCTTAAATATTATTGCCTTTACAGAAAAAAAAATTGCATTCTAAATCACATTAATAATTATTTTATTTTCAAATACACACATTTCCATGAAAAATGGTGAAATTTAAAGAATCACTTACAGTTTAACCAAAAAGCAAAATACAGAAACAAAAAAAGATCAAGCACAGTGAAGAAAACATGCACAACACCTTCATTATATAATATCTTTTGGTGTCTGGAGGATCGGATTTTGCACAGAAAACATTATGCAAAATGCATGAGAACCATAGCATTTATTAGTAAAAAATTCATACAGTTTAGTGACGACTCATAGGTTGCCTTTAAAAAGTAATTTTAAGTGTTAAATATGAAACAATTTTCCTTTAATTAAAAAAGTTCATGTGTTGCAGCTACTTCACCTAGACAGCCATGTAAACATTCACAGCAAAATGTAAAACTGTTTTATTATATAATAATAAAAGTACTTTAAGGAATTAATAAAGTTACCTATCAATCATTTTACTTCAAGTCTATCCTATCTTGAGAGATCCACCAGAATAAACTATGTCAGCAACACTAATTACAGTCTTATATTGTAAAGTTCTAAAAGTTACTACACAAGTCTGTCATTCATGTACAAGGCTTGTGTATGTGTACATCAACTTTTTGTACTTGAGAGCTTGGGCTATGGATTAGATTTCAGATACTTCCATGAAACTACATAAGGATTATCTGCACTTTGGATTATGGATCAGTTTGAAAGACAATGAAACAAATTTTGTATAATCATTTATCAGTTAGCAAGTATACATGTACAAATTTTTTTTATCTTAAACTTCTGTTTAACTGAGCATTGATATAATGATAAGATATGAAATACTCATGATCAAATATAAAAAAAGATTTCAAACTGTTTAAACTTACTGGACATATTAAGGATCCTCTTAAACTGGTAGTGGCAATTTCTGAATCAGGATCATGCTGCAGTTTTTCTTTAACTAAAAGGTTAAAGGAACAGTAATGAAACTTTCAAGGGCCTTGAGTAGAAACCACATGCTGACAGCCATTATGACAACGTGTTAAAAAAAAACACAATCATAATTCTGGAACTATACCTCGGAAAATTGTTCTGCAAGTTTTATTTGTCTGTACCATGATTTAGTTTAAGTTTATTTTATTTAACTAGCTTATGATGCTCAATTTTTATGCTAATTTGTATTGCATTTGATGATGAATTATTTTCTACATTTATACTTGTGTAACTATATATATATATACATATATTAACATACATAATAAAATGGAATAACATTTTTATTCTGTTTGTTTTATTCCCAAACACTTAAAGCTGCTTTGCAACAGCCATGATCAGGCCCAATGTTATTGCTGTATTTATAAATTTTTGTGTAAAGCTACAAAAGGGCTATCCCTAATTTTGAACTGACAGACTAGAGGAAAGGCAATTAGGTAACAACACCCCACCGTCAATTCTTCTATGATGAATCTGACCATCACTGTAATTGTGCACTTACAACCAACAAATGCAGAGCACATGTTTGTGGCAACAAGATGCAAACAATTAACCTTGGATTCACAGAGCAGGCATGTTAGCTACCAAGCCATCCCCAACTAGACATTCACTTATTAAATCTTTCAACACAGGATCGGTCGATTTAAACGACTAATGTGACCTCTTTTGTACTCTTTTTAAAGTCTTAATAGTTTTCATACTACTAACTTTTAGTATAGTACATATTTCTTCACAAAATTGGGCAGACTTTCAGTAAACATTATAACTCTTTCACGTACAAAAAATCCTATTTGTTAGTGAACTATTTTTAATAAACTAAAAAAAAAAAAGATACTAGTCCTTGCACAAAGTGATGTTCATTGTTAAGAATTAAAAATGTCTTTTCTTCAATTTTAAAAACCTCTAAAATTCATTGCTTGATCTCTAAACCTCCTAAATACATTCAAATACTTGTTTTCAGTAAAACTATATGTTTTATGTATTATTTTCTCTACCCTAACTCTATACAAGGTTGGTCAATTTGACCACCATAAAAAAAATTTAAATAAATCTAAATTACCCTTTTTCCTTTCTAAAATGACTTCGAAGTGTAACATGAAACTACATTCATTTATCCTAAGTAGTTTTAAAGTCTTTAACAGTATACATCTATTTATAATTCAATTTTATTGCTCTTTGAACTGTGTCTAAATACTATTTGTGCCATTATAAGTTGTAAATCAAATTGGGGGAACGTGGAGCTCATATTATGCTATCAAATTAAATTACCCACGAGCTACTCCGTGATGCTCGCATGAGTGCCTCATGAAAAATTTTATTATTATTATTTATTTTACCTAATTTAACCTTAACTGACCTAAATAGATCCCTATTTTTACATTTTATCCACTTTTATAGTAATAAATAAAGAATAAACATGAAAAACAAGAAATAAAGTACTTACCCAGGTAATTTTTTTTGCTGTCAACTGTTGATGATACTTAACCCTTCTTTTTTTTTTTATACTAATGGTAGTGGTGCACTAAATAATTTTTATTTAATTAAATAATGCACCAAAGAACATGGAATAAAAAGATACAAAAAGTAGGTAATTTCCCATAACTATCACAATTTTTGGGCTTTCCAACTATGCAACAAAAATCGTTACAAATTCATCCAAGCTAATCGTTATCTTTCCCATGGGAACGAAGCTTGTATTAACTGAGAAATTGACAATTCTCTGTTCAAAAAACAATGTAATATAATACATCATTTGATAGATGAAAACCTTGGCTTTTTATTGGTTATAAATAATATAGTACTAAGCATAAGAGAGAACTATCAACAAATCCTGAAACAAAAGATGTGACAAGTGGGTGTGGCAAGAGGGGGGTCTGATTTTCTATTTGATGACTCAGTAACCAAACAAGTTTGAAGGCTGTAAAAATTATGGTTTGTCTGAGCAATGACAATTTTATAGTGAGTAATTTACATTACATTTTGCACTTATTGGAGGGGTGGTGAATAAAATAGAGAAGAGGGGATGCTTAGAGAAAATATGTCACATTTCTCACACTAGGAGAAATACTATTAAAATATGGATTATTAACTACAACTTTATGCTATACTAATTGGTACAACATCAACAAAAAGTAGTTTAATTAAATTTTGAATGTAAGTCACTAAAACCTTGTAACTTGCGCAGTAAAGAATGTCCATGCAGAAAGAGTTAACTAAATCATTAGTAGATGTGCACACACTGAAATTCTATTCAATATTTAGTCTGGGTGACAAGGCAATCTACAGTTAAAGATAATTTGATATTTATAATTCTTATACCCTATCATTATAGAAAGACCTTGTTAATCTATACATCGACAATCTGTATTATTTACAACTTCGATGGTTTTTGAAACAGACAATTCTTCCCATCTGGAAAGTTGATTAATAATCTGTATATTTGTTCACCTTCTGAATTTATTCAAAGATAATTTTTAAAGTAAACATCCATTTCCTATGGATGTGTATATTCAGTAAACTGTACAAGACTCCACAAGTGTCAAGTTGATTTGAAACAAGATGATAATTACTGACCACTAAACACTTGCACTCACAGTGCCTATTAGTTTAAGACAATTTTTCTGAGAACAACCTTCTCAGTGAGAATGTAGTATAAACTATAACAGATTTTGAGAGGTCATCAGAATGATTTATTCTACAATAATATCAAGTCACAATGCTCCAAAACAAAGATGCGTAGAAATTTTAGCTTCATTAAAATATGATGTTTGTTTACAAATAAAAGTAATATATGTACGTGGATTTTGTATTCCATAAGTATTTCAATGGTTTGAACAAAATGATGCTGTATGTGAAGACAACAACATAATGTGTCACTTCTATTATGCAATTTGTATAATTATTGATGACACATAACATAATAAGCTGTTATGTTTATTGTACATACAGTTGCTTGTCGTTTGCTAATTGCATGTCTACTCTTACTAGTTTACATTTACTGATCAATAACTCATGCTGCTAATAGTGTCCACTGTATTCAAAGTGACTGATTCAACTATTGAGAAGTCTTTATATTCTGGTAGAGTTACCTCATTACAGATGCATTTATTTTTAATGAAGTTTCACTGTAATTAGAGAAATCAGTACCAAAAACCAGAAAACAGTTCTTTAGAGTAATGTGTACAGAAACCTGAATAATAGTGAAGACGATTAAAAAAGATTTAATTGTATTTTTGTTGACTTTTTTTTACATTAATTACTTTTTATTCAATTTTATCTCTATAAAGATCCTGTAGGTGTAAATTATATAATACAATGACTTAGTCAGAGCTTTTGGAATACCCAAAATTATACATTTGAAATTCCTATGATAAAAACTTTACATATATACAAACAATACCAAAGTACAGTATACAAAACCACTTACTCATTGCTCTGGTATGATCAGGGTTTCTTATTCCCAAGCTTCTCAGATGGGTAAGCAAAGTCGAAGAGCTCAGTCTTCTCACAAGATACACAGCTATTGAATAACCCTTTATGATGTAAAAAACAACAACAAAAAATCATCAAAGCTGCATATGTTGTCACAGCATAATCAGATATTAAAATCTCAGGCACGAATAATCAACATTTATTGTTATACCTCATAGTTCATACATAGGTACCAATTAGGTAGGGTAAGGGAAGGGGCATTAATGTGTAGTTTGTATTATTTGAATGGTTATTAAATAACACAGGAAATAATCAGAGCATATGCTTCCAAAATAGACTGATTTTTACATTCTAACCTTAAAAACAAAAAACCATCCAAGGGACTAACCACAATGTCCTAATAATTATCCCCATACCTTATAAAATTCCAGTCAATTTATAAAAGGAGGATAATAATGTGGTTTGGATTAGTTTTCAGCCAAAGAGACATAAATGTTATTGGATACTGTCACCATCTGATGGGTAAATCGGGATTTTCAGCCAGACACTGACAGGTCTGCTCGGGTTTAAGGAATTAAGCAGGACGCCCCCCCCCCTCCCCAAAAACAAAAAGTGAGCAAGAGGCTTGATTCTATGTAAAGTATGTGGCATACAAGTCATGGTGTCATAGAAATGAAAATACCTTGGCAGGGGGGGGACTAAAACTACTTCAGTCCATGATTTCACATGACCCAGGGTAAAATATTGCTTTAATATACATTATTCTGATGCAAAACGTAGACTATGTTTTTCTTGCTGATCTCAAACATTTTGCATAATAAATGAAAACTTGATGGATAACAACAACTTTGTAAATTAAATTAATACTAGCTTAAACATACTTTAACATATTCTGATGCCCATGTCACATTGATATGATTGGTGAAGTTGGAACACAGTCTACATAATCCTGTAATAATCACTGGTCGACTTGGTCTCTTGGGTTCCACCCCAGGTTTGTTGGTAGGAATGGGGTTCTGAAAGAAAAAAAAATCATTTTAAAGATCACAAGAGAGTTTGAATAAGATAAACAAGTCTCTTAAACCTTTTATATGGTGTTGCATACAATATGATTAGAAACACTTGTAAACAGACTACTCTTAATTTTTCCTGTATGATTAGAAAAAGTACCAATAAAAAGTTTTTGGAAGTACCACATGACCAAATTTTACCAAACAACAAAATATTACCTCTAATGATTTGTAGACCATAATGGCTTCTTTGTTAATATAAAAATCAATGTACTGAGCACCAGATCATTTCAACAGCACACTCCAAATATAGGAAGTGATTAGATGAATCTCTGATATTGGAAAATAAAAATATTCAAAAATCTAAAAAGCAGGGTAGCCAATTCATAACCCTTTATGTCTGAAACAAGAAGATTTGTGTCGGAGGCAAGTTTCACCATTACATTATGCCTAACAGAGAAATAAATTTTTTTACACAATTATTTTTAATACATCTTTGAAATTACTGTGTCACTACTGCAGTGTCATCCCTGTTATGGGTCTGAAACAGCAGTGTTGCACTTGAATATATACTGCGCAAGTATAAATATGCAAAATTAATATACCTGTGTACATTTTTTCAGATGTTTTAATCTGGACAATTCAGTATTGTTTACATGTCTACGAGTGTGTTTATGACAATGTTGGAGCCTTAAGTGTTGTATCTAAAAATATGCAGTTACTCAAACATTTGTAACTAACCAAGGGAAACAAATAACCAAAATTAATTTTATTTATCAGGTAAATGCAAGCTTAACCAAAGTAAAAATCTGCTATATTGGATATTTTTTAAGTGGCCTAAATTCAAAGTCAAACAACATAAAAAATTAGAATAACGTCCATACATTTTGGAAAATAACACTTGTGATAATGTAAATTTATTTTAAAAAGTTTGAAAACCACTAGAGAATGAACAAAAATAAAACTAGGAAGTCTATTCAGATAATATAGTATTATTTTCTTAACAACATTGTTTAACTTTTCCATGCTAGCTGCTGTAACATTTTACTTTTATAAAGATTGTACAATACAAGCAATTTTTAAAAGTTAGTTGTGCAACAATGTAACAACATTTTCAGTATTTATACATAAAAGAAAAGAAACTTCCATTATAGTATTAATCAATGTCGACTACAATATCCTAATGTAACCTAAATAAGTCAAACAGTTAATAGCAGGGATTTTTTTGAGATGATACGCACTTATACAGCATTCTGGCACTACTTTTCATATTGCAAAATGGAGAGAAAGGTGACAAAACTTGAAAGAGTAATGTAAATGAATGAGTGAATTTCCCCCTTTAAACAAATCTTTTGTTCACAAGAAGACCAAAGAGACACTGAACTAGAAGTCTTACAAATGACAAAGTTTAAAGGAGTGTGAAAACGTACTATTTGTTTGATAGTGTATGTGTGATCATCAGTGCAGAATGAGGTGTGAAGCATCAGGTAGGATTAGCATGCCATTAATAGGGAACATCAATGATCACCTAGTTTTACACTTACAAGATGTGACCGCTATCAGTCAATGTATGATAGTGGCCTCACTTTGACTGACAGGTTTCAATTGGGCAGCGGTAGGTGAGAGACAGCCTGGGTGGACGCAATACTGAGTTCGATGAGACCACTTGGGACTGGAAAACAGGTGACCACAAGCAAAGTTGACTGGCATTTGGGGCTGGACTGTACATTTGTTGAAATAAAATAAGTCACAAAGTGGATGAAGACAACTGACATCATTAATCACACAGCACCTTCTCAGCCAAGATAAAAATATGGGTGCAAGTCTCGGATATAAGTCATTTAGGTGTGACATACTCAGTCGAGGTGGTGCTGTTAATTTGAGTGGATGTGTGTTTCTCTTCTATTGTGCTTTAATTTATTGTGACAGCGAGTGTATATCCTTTTTATTGCATCTTGAGAAAACACCCCAATGTAAAAATGAAACAAATTACAAGTTTCTTTTCACCTTCTGTGAAAAAGGAAGCTATAATAAGTGATCCAAGAACAGGAATTAATAGTGTCAATGACAGTTTCTGTTCCTTGTCCATCTGATGTCCATGAGCTATCCGACAATGACTGGCCTAGCTGCTGGACTATCAATCAAAGAAATGATTTTTTGCAGGAAGTACGATTGGCTGAATGGTAGAAATAGGAAACTTGGCTCTTCACCTTGCCATACAATTGGAACTTTTGGAGTGGAAATGAAGGCACGCATGAAAGTTTCTAAAGAATGGGTCAACAATGAACTAACTTATTTTGGTGAAAGTCGACAGCAACAGCTTCTGTCTTTGTGGAAAAAACTTTTCAATCACAAGGAAACTACAGGACATAAAGCTGCAGTAAAATTGTTGACTGGAGCTGAGAAAGAGACCATTGAAAATGTGTGTTTAAAAGCATTATCTCACAAAAAAGTGATTACTGCAACAATTTTTTGCACAACATATAAAATAGCAAATGAAAAACAATCAGTTCATAAGTTTGAATCTGAAATAGATTTACAAGAACTAAATGGAATTGACAGGGGCCATATCCTTCACTCAACAAATGCATGTATTAACACTGTGAATCACATCAGTGATGAAATGAAAAAAATACAAATTAATATAGTTACTAAATCGTTAAGTAGAATTTTATTGATAATTGACAAGTCAACTTCTTTCAGTAAAAAATCTACCTTAATAGTGTACGTTCAAATCTGTATCCCAGATAATGGAATGAACTTGCTGGTAAATTTATTTTTGGACTTTATCGAAATGTTACTGCAAAAATAATTTTTGATTCTTTACTCAATTGTCTTCAGTCTTATGGAATGAACGAATACTATCTGAAAATTTATTTACTATGTGTGGCATGTGATGGTGCAGCTATGATGCTGGGGAGTAAAAGTGTAGTTAAGAAACTGTTGAAAGACAAATTTCCTTCTGCAATTGTATGCCACTGTGCTAATCACATATTAGAACTGACTGTTGGTGACACTGTAAAATCAATCTCAGGGATCAACAGATGTAAAGCATTTATTGATAAACTTTATGTCTTGTATCACACATCCCCTAAAAATAGCAGAGAACTGAAAGTGTGCACAAACTTGATGGAGATTCAACTTTTAAAAATTGCCAAAATTTTAAGCACTCAATACGTGGCATCTAGTTTCTGATCAGTTTTAGCTGTTTTGGAAAACTATGAAAAGTTAGTGCAACATTTTGAAGAAGCGAAGCATGATTTCACAAGAAACAAAAAAAAGAGCAATGTGCATATGAGGGCTTACAGCAAAAAATTACAAGCACAGAATTTCTGTTGGATCTAGTATTAATGTGTGATGCTCTCCAAGAATTATCCAAATTGAGTTTGGACTTACAAGAGTGTGATACAGACTTGTACAAGGCAGATCAAAAGATAAAAGCTCTTTACAAATTTTTGAAGAAAGATGAATGATTCCAGGCCCATATTATAATTATGCTGCCAAAAAAACCTTCACTTCTGGGGAGTTTCACTTCACAACAAAGATTGCAAAAAGAATCCTCCGATTAATCCAGAAGCTTTTTACAGAACCTTGAAAAAAGTTGATCGAAAATAGGTTGCTTGATAGTGAAGACAGCAATATAGCACAATGTGGACGTGTGCTTGATAAAAAACATTGGCCTGAAAACGCTGATGCTCATTTAACATTCGGTGAGATGGAGGTCAGAAAATTATCAATAAGACTTCAGCTAAATGAGAGAGATATGATTCGTGCATTTCATCAATATTTGATTAAAAAGACGGTTCTGGAAAAGTTGCAGCATTTGAAATACGCTCTGAGTACTATTCCAGTTACTTCCAGTGATTGTGAATGTGGGTTTTTACAGATGAATTTGAATGTCACCCCCCAACTGGGTCCTATAGTTTTTCAATATACACATCCATTTTTTTCTTTTTTTAAGAGGATGTCTAGAGCAGTGGAACGTTTTTCATGTTGCATTACATAAAAGCACTTGGTAAGTTCAATCGGTAAATCTTGTTACATCTGAATTTTAGAAATGCAGTTATTTCGTTTAGTAAAATTTCCTGCATACATATATATATATAAAAATACAGAATCCTGTACAAATTCGACCTCCAAACATAACGAACCACAGAAATACCTCATCACATTACTTTTTGAAGTGAATCATCTACCTATACAGCTTGACAGATAACATATAAATTACATGTACAGTACATGAAAATGTAAGGAAACAAGCAATTATTCATAATGCGGTGTCTAAATATATCCCAGAACATAAAAGTGAAAGAGGAGCAGGAACAGAAACAAAGACTCATGGAAATCACTTTACCAAATTAATTTGAAAAGTAAATTCTATAAATAACTAGTCTAATGTGTAACTTATACTGAGCTACAGTAAAGATACCAAGTTACACAAAACAGAAAAGTACAATAAAACTAAGTATAAACAAAACATAAACCCAAATGATTTATTTGTTTTGTCATGTGTCATGCACAAAATTATTTAGATGTACTCGGTTTTGGCAAGTACGTTTGGACAGATTTTTTTTTTTTTTGCTTTCATGAAGCATGAATTATTCTTAATCATTAACTGACTGTGTTCATTGTCACAGTCAACAGTACATCTGGTTGGATCAAAAAGAAAGTTCTGATGTAAAACAAGACAAAAGAGTGAACCTGGCATCTGTGAACTGTTGCCAAATCATCATTTTATCTGTTTGAATCATGGTTGTCAGTTGAGTCTTTTCTTCAAGTATCTAGATATGTTTAATTTTTTGTATAGGGCCATTCTATCCTTGTTCAATTTCAGTCTCAAATCAGCTTTTAGTCTGTATTTCAACTGTAACACTAAGTTCTAGGCACATTCTCTCATTTTGGTTCCTAGTAGTTAACTTTTTAAATCTCAAATACTGTTTTATTCAGTTGTTGAAGATAGTTCAAGTAAACAGTTATACAAAACTGGCCATTATGTGAAATTCATAATAAAATTATAAACTTCTAGCATGATGAATCTTGGTATAATCAACAAAAATCAGAATCCTGACTTTATTGTAGCCTGTGCTAGCTTGCCGAGATTATATTTTTCACATTTTGATTGTATAACTAATATACTAAAGTTTTAATAGCTGTTCAAGGATTTCTTGCTAAGTGTCATATGATAATTCTGAACCAGCTTTGCTAAACTTCATTTAGCAACTTCCAATGATTGTTACAGAGCTATGTTCTGTGACAAACTAAAGCATGTTGAAAAAACTTAATGTTTTCTTACTGGAGTATTTTGATTATTTTTGTGTTCAGCTTTAAACACTTCATGACTTAGAAGGCATTTAAGTTTCATTTTCTAGCAGTAAGTCGTATTTTTCAAAGAAAAAAATTATGGAGAAATGTTATTAAAATCTATAAAAGACTGTAACCTTTTCCAAGACCTTGGCCAATTCTTTTGAAAATGTTGTTGATTCTGTATTGTTACACATGCATATATTTTGGAATTGTTTTTATAACACCCACAAACATTTACAGCAATCTATGTAAATTGCAACAATAATTTCATGTAATAAAGTTATGCAGTAATCAAAAATTTACATTTTCACTATTTGTGAACTAAGGACATTATAAAACTAATGATGGATCACACTCTCAGATTAGTCTAATAAACCCCATTCCCCAATATCCACTGATCATTTCACAGCTAGTTTTACTTTTCAATTTGAATTTACATTTAACAAGGTACAGAGATTTTCCTCAAGTCTAACAGTTTGATGTCACGAATACAATGTTTTTATTAATTTTCTTTTTAAATTCTAACAAATAATGATTCTCAATGATAACATCTTTAATGCTAAATATATTAAATAAAGTCACCTTATGTTTGTTGTATACTCTCATTATCAATTTAAGTTTAACCTTAAATATCTATCATTATGTCTAAAACTACACTTTATTATAAATACTTTCCTTAATGTTTAAGTAGCAGATCAAGAAGCTTAAACTAATCTTAATCATTTGAAGGTTATAGATATTTACAAGCTGCCTTTTTGTATGCAGAATGTAATAGACTCTACAAGACTCATGCACTTGACAGACACCCAAGAATAATGTTTATACCAAGATAACAAAACTGTAACTTACAAGAAAAGCATGTTTAGAATATCCGAGTTGTGAATTTGATACTATTGCTAAAAATTTCTTTACAAGAAATTTCTTTTTTGTTAGACTCTAAACAAGTGCCAGCACACCGAAAAAATGACCTAGAAAGTTTTGTTTGTAAAGAACAGAGTATCAATACTTAACAGGAAGAGAGCACATTTTTGAGTTGACTCTGACACATATGCTTGGAGGAAAGTTGTCCTCCTGTTCACAGGTAGTTTCAAGGAGGCAAAAACGCATCTGGACTTGAATACCATAATCTTTGCTCTCTGTTCTAAAAGGATAAAAATATTCAACAGATCCAAAAGATCATTACAACTTCTTACACTTAACTGTTTAAAGACACAAGAATTAATATCAAATATACAATTACGAAGAACTTAAACCTAAAAATGTACAGAAGTAAATGTTTGAAACAAAATTTCCTACTGCCTAAGAGTTATTTATTACTACCCCAGATAACTGGGGTTACATGCATGGTGTTGCTAAAAATGTTTGAAAATGTCGTATTATGCAGCAATAACTGAAATACCTTTTCAATTTCTTCTAGAATGTTTTTTAACATTAGAAATAACATGTAAACATTCTTGATATAGTCATAATGTGGAGAATAAACTGAAAATTTAATCAAGAGTTTGATATGATTTTCATAAGTCATGAACTTAGTGTGATACTACTACTTTCCACTAATTAAAATCTATTATTTATATTAAAAAAAATTGTAATTTTTTGTGTGTAACTACTGGTACTATGAGTCATATTTAATTTAAGTTTGCACCATTCTTATTGATTTTTTGAGAATGTACTTGAAAATTGTTTTTATTTGCTCAATGTGTGAGTTTGGTAAACAAACTCCACTGAAGGAAGCATGGGGGCCCCTGTTTTTTTTTTTGTTTGTTTTTGTTTTGACAGGTTGGGCAAGGATAATTTATAATATTCTCTAACTCTAATACTTCTAAAGAATTAGTATAATTTTCCAAGGCTTCACTAACATAGTTTTATCACCCAACCCTTGACCCGTAACATTCCAGGAGAAATTGTTGAAGTATACCCAATTTAATTATTTCATGAAGTTGTCTTACTCAAGTGGCTCTGTGGTGAGTGAAAGATTTCACAAATCCATCAACGTATTTTTATAATTACATTATATAACCTAAAAAATTATGGTTTAAATGCCAAAAGAAGATGAGGCACCCACAACCAATAGGCCTAAGATTTATGATAAAATTTCTATCAGAAAGTTTAAACCTAAAAATTAATTGCAAATACCATCATTAGTTAAGACTAATAGCCATACATTTGGAAGATAGCAATAAAAACAAGATGTTTTATCCAAAAAACTTCACGAAAACCTAATAAAAACATACAGATATTATGGTCACTAACCTTCTAACTTAAATGTTTTAAAACCCCTCAAGAACTTCAAAATTTCTATGTCAGGCAAAATATATGTACATAAACTAAAACACAAACTGATCTCAAAAAGAAGAATTCAAGCCAGTCCTTGTGAATTTTCAAAGTATTATATACATACTTAAGACAACAATATCAGGTTACAGTTTTGTTGCTAAGCATCATAGATGAACAGAGCATTACCAAAAGACAACTGGCTTTTATGTACATTAAATGGTAAACAAGTATTAATACCCAAAAGAAATTTCAACTACATGATATAGGTAAGTGTACAGGCCAGGTCAGATTAAAAATATTACACTGTGGAAATTTGTTTGTTTGTTTGAAGTTAAGCACAAAGCTACACAATGGGCTATCTATGCTCTGCCCACCACAGGTATCAAAACCCTGTTTCTAGCACTGTAAGTCCACAAACATACTGCTGTGCTACTGGGTGGCTACACTGTGGAAATTTAAAATAAATTTAACACTAAATATACATCTATATATATCATCTAATATTCCATGAAACTTTTAACATTAATGAAAGAATTTCCTATACTTATGGGTAGTCTCAACATTATCAATGAAAAGAGAGTTTGGATTAAAGTAGCATGAACAGAAAAAAGATGGTGAAATATATAAGATAATAGTAATTCTGATAATTTTTAAAAAAACTTGTGAAACATAAATGTAAACCCTGTAATTCAAATATATGTATGTATATACCTCAAATTACTATAATAAAAACCAGTTACTAGAAAAATGTTTATACTATCTATATACAATGATACATCATCCATCTTGATAGAGTAAAACACCATTTGCCAAACCTTTGTCATTTATGCCCTCCCCTTTAATAAATATGGTTTCTTGTACCCCCTCTTTCTTTTAAATGAGTGAAAGAGCTAGTTAAGTGATTAGATGTAATACACATTAAAATGCTATATGTGTGTGTTGTAATAATTACTATACTTTGATTAATGAAAATATAATAAAATGTATATTTTTGCCTTATTGCACTACTGACTCTACTCTAATTGCTCATGCTGCTCCAAGAAATCACTTGTGCCCCCTTGGGGGTGAATCCCACACTTTGGCAAATGCTGAAGTAAAACAAAAAAATAATTGATGTTCTACTACATGTCACATATAAGGTAAAACTAATTCCTTTCTTTATATTCCATCAAGTTAAACATTTAAATTTAGAGGCAAGAAACATGTATATAAATGAAACATACCTTGACATAGCTATATCATGAGCCTGCTGTGGTGTTAAATGAAAAGCAAAAGAATCTTCTTGAAACCTCCCTGGTTTTTTAGGCACTAAAGAAAAGAAAGAATGTATTATATATTTACTTTAAAAAAACTCAGTTCACTTTTTAGGAAGATGACTAAAGGTTTTTTTCTTTTAAACCAGTACAATTCAAAAGCAGAAATGAATCACATCAAGATGGATATAAAAATACTAAAGGACAAGATTCATTAAAGTTAGGGTTTAAACCCTGAAAACTGGCAAAACTTTAGTAACTAACTGGTCTAAATTTTATTTTTTTAATCACAAATATAAGGCCTATAAAATTCAAAGAAGTTGATAAACGTTTGCACAGTTTACTGATTTAATTAATAAAATCAAGAGAAATTCAAAAAGAATTTGTGTCTTGAAATATTCTTGATGCTTATGCAATTAAAAACAAAATACCTATTCAAAATTGGAAGAAAACTGGTACAAAATCATGACAAAAGAACTATCATATATTTTGTTGTTTTTCTAAAAAGCTCATCCAAAATATTTACTCACTGATGGCCTTAAGAACTGGCTGCTAACCTAATTGACTGCTTCAACTGTGAATTGAGCTGGTTAAAATTTCTTTTGAAAATTTGTGATTATGTATTTGTAAGTGTCAAATTATAGGCAAAGGTGCATTTATTCCACTCATAAAAGTTGTTTTTTTTTTTTAATAGTGAAACATTCTATTGGTCATGTAAAAGTCTGAATGCAACAGTAATTATTACCAAACACAACTGTCTGACTGAAAACAAAAACACATTATGACTTCAAATTATAAAAGAATATGGGATTATGAGCAAAAGTACTCATCCCCATTTATGGGAAATGTTTAAGTTAATCTATCAATTTGAATTATTTCATGAACTTTAAAAAGGTTAATTGTGTTGTACTCTTGGTTTCACTCGCAGCCAAAGCTCTAAGTTACTTATACCACCCACCACGAAAAGTAATTGTTGAGGATTTCAGTCATGCTAAGAGCCACTCAACAATAACATAAAATAAATCTACATTTATATTTTTTAAGTTATGTCACATTTTTAAATGTGAATGATAGTGTGATTACTTCCTAACAGTTTAGTGTAGAATATCCTGCTTGTAAAATAAAATTTGGCATCAAAATTATTCATGTCTGTTCTCTCCTCATTTCAAAAGTGAAGGTTGAGCTTTGCTTGCTTGCACAGCTTTTCAAACACAGTGCGGGAAGCGGCTGCCATAATCAGGAGACAAAAGAACGCTCAGACAGACACCACGGTTTGGCGTGTAAGATTTTGGTCCAATCCAACAGAACCACAAAGATTTGTGTAAAGAGAAGTGTGTGAACAAATCTGTTGCATTTCAGTTCTTATATTTTTTTGCCTAAAGAGCAAGACGTATGATTGATGTATTTTTTAAAATAGTAAAGTAAAAAACGTTTGCTCCAGGGATGGATGATTTTAACAATTTTACAAGGTGTGATTTTAAATGTGCTAGCACTACATCCTAGGAGAAAAAAAGTCAGTGAGATTCAAATGACTAATGCTTTGGAATCTGATTGTAAGCTATAGTGCTCATCAGTGCCCTTCATTTCTGAATTAGTGCTGTAATTTTACATAAAATTAAGCACTTAGAAATTTCAAAAACATGGACAATTAAACGTATTGTAAGCCAACATATTTGGATAAACAAGACATAATTTGACAATTTAAATTATCTTGAGTTTTTGTGTGAATACTTGCAATTAAGCATATGTAATTTCAGCAAAACTTTCATTAAAATATTATTGTAAACTATGTTTTTAAACATTCAGATGCATGTATTGTTGGCTACAGAGTTTTAGAACCAATGTGATGTAATAAGCACATAAAGCTTAGAACATTCAGAAAAGTTGTAAATAGAACCAAAACTTTATACTTATAAGCACATTAAGATTGTGTGATGTAATAAGCACATAATCTAGAACACTCAAAGAAGTTGTAGACAGAACCATAACTTTGTAGTTATAAGCACATTAAGATTGTTAGAGAATTCATTCAGTTAGTCAATGTGCTTTTTTAGGATATCAGAAGCAGTGTATACAGCAACCTCAAAACACAGTAAATTAATTCAACTACACAAATATGCTAATGATTGATTTTATTGAAAAAATCAAATCCACTGGAATAAAATTGAAAAGTATATAAAATTTATTTCTTAGAAAAATTCAAGTACTGTTTTGGCAAAGATAAAGTTTTTTTAAATTCCAGGAATTTTTCAAGACTGCCCCAAAATTCAAGGAGCTATCCAGGTCTGTTCAAATAATGTGACAAAAAAAAAAGACACATTACAAACAGCTGCATGTTTTGAAAACCCCACAACAATTATCAATTCATGAGAATATAACAAAATATATAAAATATAGATGCACAAATTATCATGCAAGAATACAAATATTGAAATTACAAGAATATGTTAAAAAAAAAAGAGGAAGGAAGAAGAAAGAAATGGTAATGACATATTTTGATAAGAGCCTTCAAATTAAAGCTGAAAAAGGTTTCTGGTGGTTGCAAGTTTAAATTACACATATGAGTGGTGCTGATGAAGTACAAATTAATTGGGGTGGAACTCTCATATAAAAAAATACATTTATTCATGTTTCAGATTTTCACCTAACAAATACTGTTCATTTGAGTATATTAGCTGTTTGAGTAAACACCAAAAACACACCTAATATACTCACATAAACTACTTGGTCTAAGCAGTTCAGCAAGGACATCATAGAATGGTAAAGGTTTCAGGCGAACATCAGGATGCAGTGGGTATTTGGCCATATTATAGCCACTTTGAGCACTGGAGCCAGCATGCTTGGGAGAAGTGTAGTCATAGTAAAGGCTGTTACCAGGTACCATTTGATTTCCTGTAATTGACTCATCTAGTCCTGTAATATGTGGAAGAGTAGGTAGAGCACCATAGAGATGGCATGGGCCAATGGAATTTATGACCGATGTATTGGGTGGGAACCTTTGCCTATTCAGAGAAATATCTTTTTTATATATTCGTATTTAATGTTTTGATGATTTATGATCACGTAATATTTACAGCTTATTTCTAATTCAAATAAATCTCTGTACCAACTAAAACAAAATTGCTAGAATATTGTCCTACTGCCAGCAGATAAAAGAAATTACACTGTACTAATAAACCAACAAGTAAACCACAGCCAGCAGCTGGGCATTATTAACAATGGAAAGTACAAGAAAATATTGAAAGACCTCAACTCAAGCAATCAAAAACGCAGATAAAGTCATAAATCTAAAGCATAACAGTCTCAGAATGGAATAACCATCAAAACAACAAAATCTTGAGCTTACTTAGATTTATAGTTTACCAAAGTACAAAAAGCACATATCTCCACCTGCAACAGAGTAGAGGCAATATATAAAGAGAAGTGTAAACTGTGGTAAATAGCAGCAGGATTTCAAGAGGAACTTAAGCTTTTACATGCAAGGAATACATCAGCTAACAACAACATCAGAAAGTTAAAAGAGTATTATTAAAGTAAAAAGTAGTGAATTTAGTTATAATGAGTCTATTCTGTTGAGTAACAAGTTTTAGCCTTTAGCTTGTACAAATAAAGAACTATTGGAGGGAAGGAAAACAAAAGGGTCAGAGAAGGGTGTAGATGATAAACTTAAAAAGATTATAGTTACAGGTCATTTTTAGATCAGGCTTGTGGATAGGATAGTCTGTGGGATAAGTAGAGTGAAGAGAATTAGATTATGCTATCTAGGGGCACAGGTGGAGGATATAACTGACAAAACAAAAGATATAACAAATGGGGCTAGTAATGCTGCGGTTTTTGTTGTGCACACAGGGACTAATGATGTTGAAAAAAGTAAGTCAGAGGAGCTAATGTACAAGTACAGGGATGATTAAGGCATTTAAAGAAAAATGCCACAAGTTAATGTCTCAGAGATATAGCTGAGAATTCATTGTAAGGTTGAAATTATAAATAGGTCTGAATGCTAGGCTTATGTTAATATGTAAGGATGAACTTGTCGGATCAATACAATGGGAGAAAGGAGCTTTTTGGAATGGATGGTTTACATTTAAATAGGGTAGTGGCTGCTTGTTTCCAAGGCCTATTAACTCAGCTGTAAGGAAAGTTTTAAACTAGGGTTAGACAGTGGTAAGGGTCAGGATAAAATAAGATTCAGAGAAAAAATTTAGCATAGGGAGAAAATATAGAAGTAGTTACAAGAAAAGGCTTAATTGCTGCTATTGTAATGCTAAAAGTATAAGAAATATTAAAGAGGTCAACATTCATGGGCAAATGCAAAATGTACCTGCCATACAATCCCAACATGGTGAATTTTGACACTAGAGAAATTGTGAAAAACACAGAAAAATCAAAAACTGCCTACATCACTGCTTGGAACCTGCAAGAAGGTATCTCTTCACCAGATCCCATGTAGTTCATGAAATGAAGATTTAAGCAGTATTCGACATCTTGAACAGTTGCTAGCTGAAAACAAGATCAAACACGATGACTGCATTAATTCTTAGCTGGTTAAGAAAAAACTGAGAAGTTTAAAAAATGGTAAGGCTCCTGGGACAGATAATATTTCCCCAAAGGTTTTGAAGGAGGTTAAAGATTGGATATGCGAACCACTTACTACTATTTTTTGTCAGTCTTTGAATAGTGGGACGGTACCAGAGGATTGGAAGTTAACTAATGTGACTCCTCTTTTCAAGGGAGGTGATAAATATTGACCCAGTAATTATAGACCTATTAGTATTACATCAGTTGTGGGAAAAGTTTTGGAAAGTCTGTTAAAAGATGATTTACAAAGTCATTTAACAAAGTTTATAATTTTATTTGATAGTTAAAATGGTTTCACTAAGAGAAAATCTTTCCTTACAAATCTTTTGATATTCTTTGAAAAGGTTACTGCTTATGTAGATAAGAGTAAGATCTTGGGTGTTGCTAGCTGTGAAGACGATGCTGCTGCTTTAATGAAGGATTTAGATCATTTAGTGAATTGGGCAAATAAATGGCAGATGGGTTTTAATTATAATTAATACACGATAATGCATGTTGGTTATCATAATTTGAATCATAAGTATAATTTAGAAGGGAATAACCTTAACATTGCTACAGAAAAAAAAAGATTTGTTGTAGAGGTTGATCAGTCCGTTAAGCCATCCAAGCAGTAGGGCAAATAAGATCTTAGGTTTAATCTACATAAATATTGAATAAAAGTCAAAAGAGGTTATAATTTCATTGTATAGGTTGCTGGTTAAGCCACATTTGGAGTATAGTGTTCAGTCATGGACTCCTTATTTAATTGTTGGAAAGGGTTCAGAGGAAGGCTACTAGGATGATACCTGGGATGGAAAGGTTGTCATACAAGGAGAGGTTAAAATCTCCAAAATTGTTTTCTCTTGAATAAAAGAAGATTTTGAGGGGATCTGATTGAAATGTCCAAGATTGTTAAGTGAATTAATAATGTTGATGTATCATCTTTTTTATAACAAGGTGCTTGACTTTTGGAATGGGTTGCCTTCAGATGTGGTGGATGCAATAAATTTAAGCCAGTTTAGGGAAAGGCTTGAAAAATGTATGAATGTTAAGGGCTGGCTTTGAGGTTTTTGTTTTGTTTAATAGTTCTAATTTAGTTTAGTGGATAGGACAGCCAAGATGGAACAATAGGTCTCTTGTTTTCCCTAAATATTATGTTATATAAACACTATTTAGTGCAATCAACTCACTACATTACAATATTATCAGGTTTTCACACTTCTTAGTGTTCAGCAGATAACACAAGTGCACAACTCAACCAATTATTTAAAAAATCAAATCTATATCCTAAGCATCTCTTCAGACACCCTCTTACTTTTAACATAAAGGTGTGTTTTTTCAACACAATAACTTAAGAAGTCCCAACTTACAGGCAACAAAGAATGGATAACAACTAACACTTTGCAAAATAAGCTACACTGTCAGCATATTCTATCTCAGAACTCTTAAACCTTTCTTTTGTGTCAGTTTTTTTTTACATCAACAACATTCCTTGTAAGTACAGAACAGGGCTAGAGAAATGTTATGCATACATGCATAATGTGTAGTTGGGTGATTAATGTAATCTCTTAATTGATTAATCACTGGGGAAATTAATTAATTATATTCAACTAATTGGATATTTTCATGAGGTGGCTAAACCATTAACTTATTATGCTAAAACTCGGGTTTCAGTACCTGTGGTGGGCAAAATATAGATAGCCCAGTGTGTAGTTTTGTGCTTAAAAACAAAACTAAAATAATAGCATTTTTTTCAATTACTTGAATATCCAGAATAATTGACAATAGCAATAACCAGAAACACTAACTGATTAAACTAAAAAAATTGAATTTATCAAAAAGAATAATTAATGTTAATATTTCAATTACTGGATAGTTGGAATAGTCAGAAACACTAATTTTGATTAGTTGATTATTTTACATGACACTAATAAATGTAAATGGTGCTCATGGGTAATCAATTAAATCACCCAGTCCTAATAATGTGTGCCAAAAAATTTAGGTAATGGATTTTCGTCAGAAACAAACCAATCTTTTTACAAAAAAACAAAAAACCTTCACTGCCCTTTGGTGAACAGAACATTTCTTAAGCTTTATCTTACTAAAACCTCCCTTAAAGGCCAATAGAAAGTTATGCAATTTTATATATATTTAACTTATTTAAAAAATAAAAGAAATGTGTCACAAACACTACCTTTATAGTACAATGACATCATTTTTGTTGGAAATACAACTGTTCCATAGTTGAGAAACTATTTCAAACATGACAAATACACAGTTTACAAAGTGTGTGTGAATTATATAATATATATTTCAAACATCAAGCTAAAATAAGAGTTTACTTTATTTAATATAAAGAAGTTATCAGAGAGTAAAAGTACAAAAGTTAAAGGTCTCAGTCCTTCAACTTTAGGTAGTACTTGGAGTCTTTGCCCCAAAGATTTTGGAGATTCTGCTACCTTGGTAGAAAAAAGCATAATCTAAAACTTCTTTCCTCTCACTTGTAAAGAAACACTGAGTAAGATGCTAATAGTAACACGAAAAAACCACACTTCTGGAGGTGCTACGTTGACAACATTTGTGTCATTGAGAAACATGATACAGAAATGGTTTGCTACTTTCTGTACCTACTTCAATTCACAATGAATTCTACAGTTCAGAATAGTTGCTCACACTTCTCTGATATCTTTGTTAGCTGCAAGTCAATAACCATATACAGATATATTTATTGAAAAGAAACTTGAGACAAATTTCTATATCAACCAATCATTCAAGAGAAGAACTGTAAGAGCATGTCAAAAATACTTACCACACCAAACAAGACACAAACCACATCAGTGATCATGAACAATTTAGCACAAAACCTAAGTATTTTACATACAAATTACAGAACAAACAGATTCTGAAAATAATTTTAGAATCAGTCCTACTTTCATAATGTTAAACACTTAAAATGTAACAAGAATAATCAATTAGAAAGTTTCTTAACAGAGACAATTTTTACCAAGTTATTTATAAGTTGGTAAAATTAGCAGACAATTAGCAACTTAAAAAAAAATCACAAATGTGCAGTTTTTATAGGCTACCAAATGTATTTTAAGAATTGTAGAATTATTTAAAAATTACAAATTGGAAAACTTAGGAAATAAAAAAAAAGAACTACCACACACAAGAAGCAAAAATTCAGAGCTAAATAAAACAACCCAGAATTCCATAATCTCATGCAAACAAATTCAAATGTGCCAGAATATCTCCATAACAAGAGGAAAGATATGAATAACTAAGATCTAAATTTATTAATAATGTTTCACACTAATAAAACATAAGTAAAATAGTGTATAAAACATCTTTATTACTTATGTAGCTGCTGGATTTTCATATTTATAGGTGTAGACCTGTGCTTAAGAAGTTCTAAGGCCCGGTACTGTAATTCCTGTTTTTTTCCCGACTTATTCCTTCCAGCAAACCCCAAAAGAACCTGTAGCTCAGACACTCTGAAGTTCAGGATCATTTGCTGTAAAAATAAATATCATTTTTGATCAAATTACATATCAGGAAATGATACGAGACAGCACAATAAGACTATATATAATTTTGAATAACTCAATATTGGTTTCCAGCATGTTATTTATGTACTCTTCTTAATATGAAACCTCCACTAAATCCAATGGCAAAAAGTATTAAAATAATAAGCAGTAATACTGTGGTGTTTCGTTTTGCTTTCTAACCTACCTTAATTTTAGTAAAGAAAAATATTTTACTTTTGTTCACTTTATCATAAAATATGAAAAGAACTGAGTTACAATACTGTACAATAAAATTTGAAACTTTGCAAAAATCATGGTATGCACAACACGAACAAATGGATTTATACAAGTTCAACTCTTATATTGAGCTTATCATAAAAATATGGATTCAGTGGAATTTATTTGCTTTTTTAAAAAATATAAACAGTTTATAGGGTCTATTTTCTCAATAGTTTTAATGCTACTCAGTGTCTAAAAAGCTACACAAAATATTTTATTTAATAGCATGAATTAAAACCAAAAAAGAAAAAACCAGTTAAAATAAACATTATTTTCTTATCACTGCTTGACCTGCTCACTGAACACATGCCAATTCACACACTTTACACAAGACAATTTTTTCCATTGAGCATCTAGCTTAAAAGCTATAAGAAAAGTAAACATTAGTCAAAAAGTGATGACAAAAACAGCCTTAAAATGCTGAAACATAATTGTAAATATTTAAAATATGTGCATAAAAAAAGACCAATAAAACTGTATTGAATGTAAAAATTACAAATCACACTCTTATGAAAGGGAACAGCTGCAGAAGCATCACCAAAACAGCACTCGGATACCTCACCTCCCCATGTATTTTCAAAAATGTAGATGACAAACCAGAATTAAAAGGAAGGATAGACAATCAATCATAAAATACTTAATAAGGTAAGACTCAGATACTCAAGCTCACAACAACTTGAGTTCAACCATGTATTAACTTGTGAACATGACAGCTACTAGTTACTAAGTTAGTAACTTCTTAAAAATAAAAGTTAAAAAACTTGCCAGGTAAGTAGTACTAAAAGTATAATGAGTTAAATACGAAGTAGGTTACACTTACAAAGGAGGGGGAGAAAGGATGAACACAAATTTCTGAAAAAGGTTTCCAAAAATGTTGTGCGTTTTAAGCAGCTTCTACAGTTTCACTGTGTCAGACCCATATGTAAAAACCTAACACTGAAATCAAAGAAATGAAAATGTTAAATTTTAAGTTTAAATTTGGAAATTTGGGTAAGCCTTAGCGCCTATGCCTAAACAAATGACAAGTTACTTATTATCACTGATATTATGAATTATAACAGGCACATGATCGCCTGTCTATTAAATAGAATAGATTCTTCGATATTAAACTTAAAACTGAAAAATCATCAAATATATGACTTACTCGTAATTCAACATTCGACATAATGTACTTCTGTAAGTCCAATCTCTAAGCCTATAAGGCTTAGTTTGACATTTGTTTATGTTCAAATCAACAGAGGTCGATTTACATAAATATACTAAAAGATAAAAGAAAATATTTTTTTAATATTTTCATTTTAGTTTGTATTATATTCTGAATTGAATTATTATAAAGAATAAAAATGTCTCTTTCACAATTTCGGGATTACCAAAATATATTTTTCTAATTAAATTTTCATTTAAGCTTTCTCTCCTCATCCCACTTTATATTTACTAACTAAAAAATAGTTTGTTTTTATTTTGGAAAGTGAATATCATACAAACTTAAATTCAAGAGCGATATTGTGTCCAACCTGATTATATATATATACATTAAATTTCAAAAGCTAATAATATGCTTGTCTTACTATAAATTTAATTCAAAATGTAGACTTAACCATTTTGCTATTTTTTTTTTTTTTTTTTAGGCTTTCAAAAAATTTGTTTTTAAATTCATAATGTTGGAAACTTTCTTGTCAAAATAAAA